GATGGTGTTGGGAGATGAAGATGGTGACCATAATGGTAATGGTAGCAATGGTAATCATGGAGGCAATATTAGTGATAATCTCGTAAGTGAGTATTTATAATAATTAAGTTTTAATCTTAAGTATTAATTATTTTTATCTATAATATAAAGGATATTATTTAATTCTTTCATCTCTCATAATAAAATATGTTTTCATTGTATACCCTCCATATATATATATATATATATATATATATATATATATATAAGAAGATATTAAATAACATTAGTGTAATTTTTATAACTATTACACCTCTCAATAATTTTTAATTGAATGAATATTTTTCAAAAAGTTTTTTCTCTTAAGTCATACAAGCAATTTTTTTATTAATATAAAATTATTTGATAACACATTTATATAGAAGAAAATCGGTGTAATATATACATTTTAAAATATCTTAATATATAAACAATTTAATCACCTTCTTATATATTCTTGTTTAATTAATTTTAACAAAATTTGACATACATATTCAAGGTAATATAAAAGTTATAATTCAATAGTTGATCAATAAATATTTTTTTATATATGATTTATTGAACGATGTAAATGTCGGTAAAAGTTATACTAGTATCATTTAATTTCATATATATATATATATATATATATATATATATATATATGAGAACGGATTCATGTACTCTAAGAATATGTCTTGGTATATTTATTTTTTTCAATAAATCATGTTCTACATTAAATTTCAACAATCTAACTGTTAAAATAATAAATTTCTTAATGTAGATCAAGTATACATATTCTACTGGAGAAAAGGTGCACATTAGAAGGGGGATCGAATAGTGTATATAAAGAATTCTCGCACTTTTGAAAAAAGTGAAGTGGTAAAAGCTTGGCAAACGAAGTGTTGAAATGCAACAGAAGAAAAGACACAAGTCTTTTATACTGGTTTGTCTCAAATACAGAGGCTACGTCCAGTTCTCAATCTGACTATATTAAGTTCCACTATCTTTCACGAGATACAAGTATTCTTTCAATAAGCTTTTATAACTCAACTCCAAGTAGTCTTTTACTTGCCTCTCCAAGCAAACAACCTCAAGTATTCTTTTAACAAACAAGTCTCTCCAAGCTTAATAACTAAGTATTCTTTTAATTACAAGTCTCTTCAAGCTCAATCCTTACAAATAGAAATTTGAAAATAGTTACAAGGATAACTTTGTTTCTCCTAGATGTGATGCTATGAAAGTTAAGCACAAACAAACTATACAAGACAAAATTTATCTACAAGATATACAGTTAGGGATGGCAACGGAGCGGGGCGGGTACGGGTTTCATGATACCCGTCCCCGTCCCCGCGAGTCAAACTCATCCCTATCCACGTACCCGTACCTATCGGGTATGTGATTTTCATCCTCATCCTTGTCCCCGTTGGGTATCGGGTATACCTGTACCTGTACCCGTATCCGTCAAATTTTTTATTATTATTATTTTTAAATATAATATTTTTAAATTATTTTTTTAATTATTATAATTATAATTAGGTTATTTTTTTTTCTCATATTATAATATATAATTATACATAAAAAAATATTAAAATTCTTTAATATAATTAAATTGAAAGTGGATATTAAATTAAAAATGGGAACGGGGACGGGTAAGGGTACGGGGCGGGTAAGTACATACCCGTACCCGTACCCGGTCAAACCAGATATTTCCCGTCAAAGTCGGGACGGGTTCGGGTATTACCCGCGGGTACGGGTATATTTGCCATCCCTATATACAGTTAGAAAATTTTCACGATGTGTTAACTTTGTTTCTTGTCTCTCTTGATTGAGAATCCCTTATATAGTAGCCTGGAAGAAAATGATCCTTAAGGAATCTTTTCAGATGCTTCGTTTGTCTTCTCTTAAAAACCAGAGAGAGTAAATTATAGTTGTTACTGTAAACATTTAATGCATTGTGTGAAAATGTTCATCTCTTATTTGATCTTGGCAGCTACTTATTATCATTTCGTAGGTAAGGTGAAAAGCAATGACTAAATCAAACTAATCCAGCCCATTCAGAGTTTCTGTTTGCTTTTCCATGATTTTCAGGATTTTTCTCTTTCTTACCTAACACAAAGATTGACTTTCCATTCCTAACAACTTTTAGTATCTTCAAAGAAACTGTTTCATTTGACTTGTTAAGGAATAAAATATTCAATGTTCTTTCAAATAATAATCTATCTTGATAACGAGAAAAAAATTTAGTAGTGAGTTAGATTATATGTTTCTAATGTCATTCGTCTTACAATCGAGATATGATGTTTACTTCGTCTGAAATACTCTCTTTTAAAAAAATATTTTGTTTGTTATCATTAAAACTTATAAAATTTTAAGAATCCAAGATTGTTTTTTGATTTTACATATTCTTATAAATTTTTAAAAAAATTATACTTTGTTATATTAAATTGAATGAACAAATAATCATAAACTATTTTATACGTCGATTTAAATCTATATAATAGAGTATCAAATAATTCTTATCAAATATTTAATAACAATTTTTGAAATTATTGAATATTCAAATTTATTTTTTAAGTATTAAAATATTATATAATATTAATTTTTAAAATTATTAAATATTTACAATGAAATAATATTTATTTGTATAAAGTTTAATCTTAAAATTTCAATATATATATATATATATATATTGAAATCAAATTTACCTAAGGTAAAAAATTAAATTATTCTATTTAAACCAAGAATTTAAAATTTAAGAAATTTAAATTAACTTGTCCACATAAAATATTTTTAAAAATGATAGAAACTGAAAGTAAAGTAATTCAAATTTAATGAATTTCAAATTTCTAAAATTTTTGAAATCCTCCAAGCAAACATAATCTAAATGCAATTCATCATCAACTATTCAAATTCTCTAATTAGTCACAATAAAATGGTGAATAAACGAAAAACTACACAATTCCTAAAAGATCACCATGCAACAAATCTAAAACACACAAAGCAAAACTAACCTAAACGAAGATTTTAGTTCGTAGTCAGAGTTCAAATAAAAGATTCCCCTCACCAAATAACCAAAAGCTGATGACGACAACTAGGCAAGAGTAGTATCATCCCTAACAATGGTTGAAGAGCTATCTTGCAAGCTCCAATTGTTGGATCCTCCAACAATGCAATGCTTCTGCTAGACACATCAATATGTGTATGTGTCCACGCGTGTAACATTTTCATGGTTATACATAATTAGAACACTACAGAAAATGAACACTAAAAACTGACTTACAGTAAGAAAATGAAATCAATGAAAATAAAGCAAATTCGATACAATTAATTGGATGTTTAGAAACTCATGGATTTATGAATGTATGCCCAGATTATTAAGAATGCAATGAATAGACACAAAGTAAAGGATTTTCATCGTAACAAGTTTTGAGTTTCCTGATAGGTGAGAGGGATTCAAATTGAAATTTAAGGTTCACAATTTTTGAACGAAAGAAATTGCTTTTTATTAGTTTTCTTTTAAATTGATTTTTATTATATTTTTTAATTTAATAAAAAAAATTGTGTTTGCCACACAAGAAGAAAGTTGACCACCTCATTTAATTGAGAGACACACATTTCACCATCTGCCAACAAAGATAAAAAATTAATTGAAATTATTTAGAACATTATGATGGTTTGAAACAGTTAAAAAATGTCATCATTTGTTATGGTTAATACTTTTACTAGAGTTATAACTTTTTTTGACGGTTTATTGGATCCATCAGAAATTTATCACAAATCACCTAATTTTTTTTTTTTTTGTAGTGACTCATCTAGGTCAAAAACTTGTTTTTGAACTTATAATTGTTTGTTTGAAAAAAACATGTTTTGAGGGCCGAAAACGTGTTTTTGAAGATTTTGCCTATCCACTTGAGCGAAATTATCATTAGAATCAAAATTTGAGAGAAATTTAGTCTTGCAATTAGTGGGTTAGACCTATAATTAATCTGCCAACTAACATAAATATCTATAAATAAGTGTCAATAATTTATATACTACACATGTTATTTATTTTTTAAAATTTTACACTTGTTTCGTATACAAACTTCTCTGATCTCTCTCACTGCTTTTCATAATTGTTGCAAATTTCTCTGATCTCTCTCACTGTTTTTCATGAATTGTTGCGACATCTTAATAAAAATGTTTGGCTAATCCTTTAATCCATTTGAGTTCCAATTTTAATCCATTTGAGCTCCAATTTAATTTTTTTTTAATGAATTCTTCATCTTTTTTCTTCTTTTCTAGATCCAATTTAATGATTTGTGCTTTGAGGAAAAGGTAAACAATGATAAATCATAAAAGAAGGAGAATAAAAAGTGAAAAGGAAAAAAAATATATGCATTGTTGATTAAAAAATTAATATATCTAACCAACCAAAAGTGTTCCTCACGGTGAAAAATATGACTAGCTTTCCCATGCTAGCATTCCCCCTTTTTAACTTTGATACTATCATTGTCGTAACCTGCTATACTACCAAACTGAGTGTAACCATGCTTCACTACCAAACTGAAAAATTTGACATTCAACTAATTTATTATCACCCTGTTTGTTGCCTTCACCAAATTCAAAGCCTCTCAAGAATCACACCAAATTTTGCTGACCCAACTCTAAGAATGTTAACCTCCCCTCCCTTCTTCCATAAACACTTCCCACCACATTAATAACTCCGTCATTCCCCAATTTCAAAACCCTGTCTGCAACACTTTGAGTGCTTCCAAGTGTTCAAGCAAACGAGTAGTTGGTGAGTAATTGTTATTTTCCCCAATGAATAGCAAGCCACTACTTACCACACATGTCTTCTAAGTCAGTAATAATATAACTATTGTGATAATAATACCTCGTTAAGACGTGAGAATAATGTATATTTAATATGTATTTACTCCAAACAAAAATTGACTAAAATGAAATTTTATTAAGTCAGAAAATGGATTGGAGACATAAAAAGATAATAACTACAAAACTACAAAAGCAAAATAAAGGGATTGTGTAGCATTAACCAATGTAAGCAAATCACATCCCAGTGAGATGTCTGAACAACATAGTGCCATGGAACATGGTGCCTTGGTATTTTTCATGATATTAGTGGTACCTAAAATAACTATTAACCAACTAAATCAATCCCTTATTTTTATCAACTTCCATTCAGAGAGCTTTTAAAAAGTATACGATTATTTCTCCATATCAAACATGACACTAATCTTGCAAAGTTGTCTGCAGAGGCAGAGAGCTCTCTACTTCCTTGGCAGCATTTGAGTTCCTTTCTGCAACAGCCTTGGACATACCAAACATCTGAAATTGATCAAAAACCCCACAACAAATGTTAACATGGTGATGCAAACAATTGTTTTCTTTCAAAGTTTAGATAAACACAAGACGAACCTTCTGAACCGTTTTCTTGAAGCAAGTTTTGTGTTCATCCATAGAAGCATGCATAAACTCGTCAATGTGATCCTTCAAGTCCTCCAAGAAAGTGGCTTCTTCATTCTTCTTCCTTCGACATGAAGTAACAGTTTTCCCTTTCTCAGTGTCCATACTCTGAGAGTCCAATCATTTGAAACAGGAGTTACACACCCATATTAAACTCAGTGAAGTGTTTAGGCCTATTTAGATCAATTATTCCAAGATGAAAATAAGAAGAAAAACTGATATAATTTTTTTAAAAAACTTAAATTAATTTATACATAACCTAATTTTTTTTTTTAATTTCCCATCATAAGTAAATAAAGTCTCTCTAAGGATTGTTTTCACCAAAAGATCAAATTCGGGCACACCCGACCAATTTGACATTGAGATCAGCATATTAACACTTGTAACCAACTCTAGATAACACACAAACAAATTGGTAAAATTTTACTCTAATAAACTTCTGCTTATGAAAAAATTATTCTAACAGACTATTAGTTAAACATTATTATCATCGGTCTCAGAACACTGGTACCACAGCTAAGCAAATTATTAAAACGCAACAATGATTTTTAATTAAATAGACAAGCTCATGGGAAAAACATGGCAAGAGAGACAAAATCTATAAACATAAACACGTTAGCACCAACCAATTTGAGACTTAAACATAATAATCCCTCGCTGTTGAATTAAGGTCTTCAAATACTCAAATGAAAACTAACATCGTCCAATTCAAATTAAAAATTAATTCAATTACAAATTTTAGAAATTGCACATTAAGAACGTAATACAATGAGTGACCAACCAACTCAGAATGTATCACTAGATTAAAAAAAAAAAATTAGAGAAAGGGATTTGAATAAAAAAAATGAAGAAGAAAAAAAAAAAAAAAAGATAAATACCCGAAAAATAGGGAACGAGAGAAGGTGAGGGAGAAAGGGTTTGGGGCGGTGCAGCGTAGAGGAGAGGGATTTGGTGAGAGATTTAAAGAACAGTGATTTCGTGCAGAGAAAGATAAAGAAAAAGACGAAACAGAGAAACCAGTGGGCTGGTTGGGTCTAGAAGGTTCTAAATAGTGTACTCATATTGCGAGGCCCGAGTATAATCGACCATTGTATTTCTTTTCTTTCTGGTTTTTGCTAAATATTCCTACATTTTCTTTCTTCTTTTGCTGGTGTTTTGTTTGTATAGTAAAATTAAGTTAATATATATATATATATATATATATATATATATTGTGTGTTTTAAAAATTTTATGGAGAAAATGGTATTGTAAAAATTCAGAATGAAATTAAAGTGAAAAAAATTATAATAAATAAAATTTAAGTTAAATTATATTTTTTTGTTTTTCTATTTTTGTTGATTTGTAATTTTGATATTTCTATTTTAAAATTAAAACATAAATATCTTTAATTTTAGAAATATGAAATTTTGATTTTTTTTTCTTTGGACATCCATTAACCATTAATTATTAACGTTAATTTGTGACATGTTATTAGTAAGGTGACATGGCAAACATTATTTTAGTTTAAATTATTGATTTTTGTTTATTAGATTAATTACATTAATAAATAATATTAATTCAGAACATGATTTAGTCGATTTAAAACACCATGAAGGCGTGAACACAATCCCATTATTGAATAGACTACATTGAAATAGGTTACATTGCATCATTGATTTATTACTCTGATTTCTTCATTTTGTACAATATTGTTGTGTTGATGTCGGTGTTTCTAAATTGTAGAAGAGAAAGAGAGTGAAGAAAGTAGCAAACGACGAATTAGCAAAACCCACACAAATAAAGAGCATGTCCATTGTCCAACCTTCTTTTATCTATTAGTTTCCTTTCATTTCTCTCCATTTTTTTTTTCAATTTACAAATTCTACTTCCTTTTACACCCCTAATGCCCTTTCATAATTTCCAAATTCTCTCTCACATTTAGCTCAACTAATCGTGATTATAATAATTATAATGAATTATTATGATGATCTAATACTCTTTCCTTTCGTTGAACGAGATATTCAAAATTTTCTCCTTCTATCTTAAGTGATTTAATATTCCCTTTTTGAAAGCTTTCATTTTTTTCAAGACATCATAATTATTCGATTTGTTAAGGTATAAAGTATTAATGCTTTCTCAAGAAATAGTCTAACAATATAACGATAAATAAATATGACATTTATTCCAGATCATATGTTTCGTCTGGTGTGCTTCATCTTACAAACAAAATATGTTACTACTTCATCTGAAATGCTTTCTTTTGAAAAATTTTTGGCTAGTTGTTTGTTATTTTAGAGAAAGACGTTTTATGAAACTCTGATCTGTTTTAGAAAAATGTTTGTTATCATAAAAACTTATAATACTTCAAGGGATACTAGATGATACTCTAGGCTTCCTTTTGATCTTATAACTTATTTCTAATAAGAACAATGTAATGATTACAAATCAATGTAATTAATTACGAATTTTTTTTCATAAAAACTATTGTCCTTCATAACACAAAAACACACATGTGAAATTTTTCACGGTGCATCAAAATTCAAAAATCTTTTTTAAGTGTCATAAATTGATAAATCACGTCACTAGTGCAAAAATTAGATTTAAAATCGGAGTTTTAAGATCGGTTACAAAGTAACCGATCTTAAAAGTGACGCGGTGACAATTTTGTAAATAACATGAACACTTTTAAGATCGGTTAAAATTTAATCAATTTTAAAAGTACTTTTAAGATCGGTTATTTTATGACCGATTTTAAAAGTAGCACTTTTAAAATTGGTTCTTTAAGAACCGATTTTAAAAGTCTAACTTTTAAAATCGGTTATTTCATAAACGATTTTGTATGTAGTATACAAAATCGATTCTTAAATAACCGATTTTAAAAGTATCGTCTGAAATCTTTTATATTCCCATCCATTCTCATTCTCTTTAATCTTTCCCTCCATTCCTTTTTTTAATCTCTGACGCTCTGATTTTCTAAAGTCTCCAATAAGGTAAATTTCGTTGTTGTTTTCGTTTTCATTTTCGTCTTCTCATGTTCTTCTTGTGTCTCTTTTCGTTTTCTCATGCTTTTCTCGTCTCTATTTTCGTTGTAGGTTCAGTTTTGGTAATTTTGGAACCTGGAACGGCCCGTTCTGCAAGGAGAACGAGCCGTGCTACAAGGAGTACGGGTTGTTCTCCCTGAAGCACGGGCCATTCTACAAGGATCGCATGGGCCGTTCTCCAAGTAGAACGGACCGTTCTCCCTAGAGAATGGCCCGTACCAAAGTTTACTTTTTAGGCCTTTTAAACAGACTGGAACGGCCCGTTCGAGTTTAATTTTTTTCCATAGCCAGACTTTTAAGATCGGTTATAAAACAACCAATCTTAAAAGTTAACTTTTAAAATCAATTGTTTAACCGATTTTAAAAGTCTTTTTTCCACTAGTGCGTGTGACTGAAAACAAAAAGCAAGGATGAAGAAGATAAAAGTTTTATAAGCTTTTCATGATAATTAACTTCTTGTTTCAAGAAACAATAAAGTTTTATTCAATCCAAATTGTAATGCTTTTGAAATCCATGTAGAATTTTGGGTTTTATTTTATTCCATTAGAAAAGGGTGTAATCTTAGATTGGATTTCTCAAGCATACAAGTTAAGAAAGGGTTTCCTAATATTACATCAAAACCGGGAACCTTTATTAAGGGTTAGTAGAGAGTCTCATGATGAAATGTTAATCAGGTTTGATTTTTGTAACTACAATATTTTTTTTATATAGTGGAAGTTTTTAACCGTGTTTTAAAACTCGGACCGACCCGGCCGATCGGACCGGTTGGACCGGGAACCGGTGGTCCAGCCGGTTCGAATATGAAGTTGGATCGGTTATGCAGTCGACCCGTTTCAAACCGGATTGAACCGGTCAATTTTCTGGTTCAACCGGTGAACCGGTGGGTCAAACCGGTTCAACCACTTTTTTTTTAATTTTTTTTAAAATTTTTTTAAGGGACCATAAATCACAAAAATAATAATGAAAATTGAATCTCTTAATGAAAAAGCAAGGAGTCTTATTAAATATAACAATGACTACTTGTTCTAATATATTTGTTTGCAATATATACAACTTAAATAACTTTTATAGTATATTATTAATTTTAAATTATATATTTAATAATGCAATATCTATGTAAATATTACATATATTATTTTGTGATATTAATTGCAAGCATATTATATATGTACATATTATTTATATTTTTAATTTGTATTAATATACCGTTTAACATGTAATTTTTTTATGTATCTTTTTACAAAATAAAAATAAAAATAATTTTAAATAAGATAGAAAAATTGAAATTTAAAATAAGATATGAATTTATTAAAATTTATAAGTATAAAATATATTTAATATAAATATTTTTTAATAAAAATCGAGTCATGCGGTTCAACTAGTGACCCATCGGTTCAACCTTTGACCCACTGACCCAGTACCTTAACCGGTTCGATGACCGGTCCGGTTTTTAAAACTATGGTTTTTAATCAGCAATAAATTACAAAAAAAAAAAAAAACTAGATGAAACTTTAAATTTGAAAGTGAGCTAGTATAAACATTTTCTGTGATATTCTTTTTCCCTTATCTCATGAATCTTATTATTCTTGATATGTTGCTTTTATCAAATAAAGGTTCTTTAATTCATCTTTAAGTTTCGCTAACTTTTGATTGTTCAAATAACATATTAAAGAAAATGTTTGAAGATAAAGAACTTGTTTAAGAATTGATTCAAGAAAAAAAAAACACCTTTCTGATGAATTTTAATTCACCAATTTAATTTCCATTTTCTCGGTGAGATATTGTTTTAATTATATATATATATATATATATGATTTTTATAATTAATTGTTTTATTTTATTATTTGAGTGAAGGAAAGTATAATTTGAGTTAATTGTTTTAAATGTTTAGTTGAGTATATTATAATTACACCGGTGTAACTTTTACTAAGTATTACACCAGTCAATAACTTTATATTAAATGTGAATTTTGTAAATTCAACCGTTAGATTGAAAGTTCATATCACTTTATATGTATATATCAAATTTTGTTAAAATTAAACAACAACTTGAAGATAATCAAAATATTCATATTTTAATATATTTTGAAATGAATATATTACGTCAATTTTGTTTTATAAGAATGAAGTATCAAATCATCTTGTATTAATATAAAATTTTGTATATATAATCTAAGAGTAAAGAACTTTCAATCTAACAGTTGGATTTACAAAATTCACATTTAATATAAAGTTATTGAGTGATATAATACTTAGTAAAAGTTACTATTGCAAAGTAAATTATATATCCCTAAGGCCGTACGAAATCCCTAACTCACGAAATCGCCTTCGTCCAGCCACCACCACCTGTGGTCGCGCCCAACTGCCATTGTCCGTCGTTTCACTGTCAAGCTTGATATTTACTTTATACGCTTTGAAATATTATGGTTGGCGGGACAACATTGGAAAACCTTTTACTGTTAGGAAAGTGAGTGAATGGAGTCGGTGAGAGACACCAACCCTACAATGTCGTCGGCCCACTACTGTTAACGGTAGCCAAGCCCCTTCCTGTTCGCGTCGACCTTGCACAAGCAACCTCCGCTCAAGCCCTTCTGCTTTAGAAGCCCTCTGTTTCCCGTTGTTTGTGTTGCGCTCGCCGCACTTCGCACTCAGTGCGAGCCTGAGAAGGTCACGACATCATTTTAAAAACTGGCAGCACCTCGCGTCGTCCTGATGGCCACCGTTTCACTGCCCTCTACGGTGGGGCTTGATGGATGCTCATGCTTAAGGGGAGTGCTCTTCTTCTTTGGTCTCGTCTAGCCTTCTCCCTCTACCACCTCCTAGTCGACGATTTTGTAGCCATCTGTGTTCTTGTTGCCCAATAAGTAAACTCTCATCTTCCTCTATTTCTTCTTCTCCTCATGGTTTCAAAAGGGGGGGGGGGGAATGGGTGGTACTCAAGAAGGCTTTGGAGGACACCTAAGACAGATTCTGAATAACTCTACGTATTTCTTCTTCACTAATGTGGCGGAGAATCAAGAGATCTCGGTGCTGTGGAAAATTTTCCAAAAATGGGGAAAGGTAGTAGATGTGTTTATCCCCAAAAAATG